ATTTTGTCCAACCCCTGTATATTCCAATATTAGCATGGTGGTTTTATTTTACTGTTACGGCACATTGATCTAACTTTTAAGTGATAAGGGTCAAGATCTTACCCATTGTAACCTAATCCTTCAACTTTATTTGGACATGTAAGATTGGTTGTGAGTTGCAAAAGAGATAATTATTTTCTTTACACAAATTACTAGAGGAGGGCTACTAAGATGGTTTGATGGATGTAAGGGTTACAGGGATAAGTTAAGATCTATTAATATTTAAAAAGTACTTTGAATATTAATAGAAAATAGTAATAACACCTTATCACAATAATGCACAATTAAAAAAATTATCAACAACAAAACATTTACAGGCCAAACTTGTCATTCTAAAGGTACTTTGGTGTCTGCCTCTGTCAGTGTGCAAAAGTATTCTGTGGGAAGCAGCTTGCATAGTTCTACTTGTGTGTATTGAGGTGATCAAGCACATAGTGGTGACCATAACATTCACAACTAAATCTAAGCAATCAAGTATATGGATACTTTAAATGGGTCTTCACAGCACACAGGGATAATAAATTTACAGCATGTCATTATTTTGTACACAACATTATTCCAATGTGAAGCAAGCCAAATATTTATTTTGACTCTGTGACATGCCAAGTCATAATTTTGATTAGTTGATTCTTTTACCTGACATTAATTGATGGTCGTAGGTAATGGTTTATATTGACTGATTGAGTTAATTGGCCAGCTATTCTCATATCAAAATTAAATGTGACACTTTCCAAAGAGTTAAATTCATAAGACATGATCTTCCAATTTTAAATCCATGGTATGCAAGTATCTGTTATGAAACTAGTGTAATTCAACTCGTGTTGAATCTTCTTACTTGCACTCTAGTAATTTCCCAACCGTAAATGTAAGACTAACTGGCTGATGATTATTTGGAAATTATGTATTTTCTCTTTTTAAAAAAAAAAAAAAAAAAAAAAAAAAATACTATATATTTTCTGTGATACTATTTGCAATCATCTAGCACCTAACCACTTTTAATGGCTTCATTAAATAGTAAGTAAGGTTAACAATCAATAAGTCTGCTGTTTTGTTTTCTTAATTACCCTAGGATAAATATTATGTGGTTCTTGTGCCTTATCTTTCTTCAGTTTTTTTCAGTTTTGAGTCTTGCCAGATATGGCATAATTCTAACTTCATTCAAAGATGTATCTGTTGGAGGAAGATCTCCTTATTAACTCCTCCTTTAGCTTACAGCTCGTTCAGTGAAACTTGATTAGGAAAAACAAAGCATTTACATACTCAGTTTTCTTATAAACATGAACTAAAATTCTTGCACCTTCTTATTTTAAAGGCCCAACTCCCATTCTAAAATTTTAGCTTACTCTATCTTTTCTATTAATGTTAATTTCAGTCATTTTTCATATTCCTTTTTTATTTCTTAATATTTTTCTTAACCAGTTCTAGTACATTCATTGGCCTCTAAGTCTTAAATTTTGTTTTAATTTCTTAAAATTGTAATGGTTTGCTTTTATTTTGTTTTTTATTTCTTTTATAAACTATTTGGACTTGTAGCTACCCCAACCTAAAAACATTGTAATTGTTTCATAGGTTTGCAACTAATATTATTGATCTTGATTTTAATGTGCAGTAAAACCCAAAATTTAAGTATATAGTGATCACTGGCTCATAAATGTTCCCCTTTTCAACCTTGTACATAACGTAATGTTTAGGGCCAAGAAGGGACCTATTGGTCCATCAAGGCTGTCACATCCTCTAAACTAAAACTATTAAATAAAACCTCAAAGCCAGCCGTTATTATTTGTATAGTTATCAAACTTTCTCTTAAACTCACTTAAATTTACTGCATCCACAACATCCAAAGGCAACCCATTCCAAAGGCCAACAACCCTTTTAGAAAAATAAAACTTTCTTAGCTGAAAATGACTGCAAAATGTATATTTATGTCCCCTAGTCCTACTACTATCACTGTTAAGGATGAAAAAAGATTATGCATCAACACTATCAATCCCCTTTACAATCTTAAACACCTCAGTCAGATCCCCTCTAACTCTTCTTAAAATAAAATTCTGAGATCTCAACCTCTTCTTATACGACAACCCCTCCATCCCAGCCACCATTCTAGTAACCCCCCTCTGAACCCTTTCCATCAATCATTGACTTTCCTAAGGTAAGGAGCCCAAGACTTAATACTCCAAATGTGGCCTAACTAGTGACCAGTATAATGAAATTATAATCTCTTTAGACTTGTACAACCTAAAATTCTATTTCCTTATCATTAACAACAGCACATTGCTTGAATGACTTAAGATATTGATCAATCATTATACCAAGATCCCTTTCTTTTATGACTATGTTAAGGTTATTCTGATCCAAATTATACTTAATTTAAATTATGATAACTTGCATGCATTATCTTGCATTTATTATAATTAAAAACCCATTTGCCATTTATTTGCCCAATTCACTAAATGACCTAAATCATTTTGTAAATCAGCAGTATCCTCTTCACAGTTAGCAACACCCAAGACCTTAATAACATCTGCAAGTTTAAGTAATTTATTGACCATCCTTTCATCTATGTCATGGATGTAAATCAAAAATACCAAAGGTCCTTAGAGTGAGCCATGAGGTATCCCACTTGTACCATTAATCCAGTTTGACTGAACTCCATTTATAACAACTCTCTGCTTTCTTCCATCCAGCCACTCTTCTATCCAATTTGCTAACTTGTCCTCCACATCTATAGAGATGATTTTTACAAGCCTTCTATGTCGCACTTTGTCAAATATTTTCTGAAAATCCAGATACACCAAATCTACACCATTACCGTCATCTACATAAGCAGTAACCTCTTCTAAGTATATCAAAAGATTTGTAAGACAAGATTTTCCCTTATTGAAACCATGTTGACTATCCATTAAAGTTCTAGACTTTGTTAAATGGCTTTGCATAGCATTTTTATCAGACTTTCGAAAATGTTTCCCACAACTGATGTAAGACTAATGAGCCTATAATTATTGGGACAATTTTTATCACCTCCCTTGAAAATTTCTCAGAATCAATGCAGTCGTCTTGTTTGATCTTGTTACCATCTATCAACTGTTCAAGATGAGGAAAACTTTTTAAATCTTCATTATTAAAAACTAAAGAAAAAAGCAAAATTCAATAACCCAGCCTTCTCCTAATCATCAGATACTAGCCTTCCTTTATCATCCCTCAAGGATCCTACCTCATCCTAACATTTTGTTTACCCTTAATGTATATAAAGAAATCCTTACTGTTAATTTTCAGCTAACTTTTTTCATACATCATTTTTGATGTCCTAATTTCCTGTTTCACCAACTTTCTTGATCTTTTATAATCTTCTAAGTTTCCTATCATACCAGTCAATTTAAATTTTTTAAATTTTATCTCTTATGCTCTTTGTCAGCCAACCTGGTTTTTCACGTGCAACTACCCTTTTCTTTCTACAAGGAATATGTTTACCTTGAATATTTAAAAATTCATTTTTTAACTTTTCCACATCTGATCAGTGTCTCCAAATACCTCAGCTGCCGAATTCACAACAAAGTCCTTGTCGCATCTCTTCAAAGCTTGGTTTTTTGAAATTTGTAACCAAAATATCATTATTCCTTATTGCCTTATACAGCAAAATATTAAATCTAGTTTGATGATTTTTGTTATACATGCATTTGAACTGACACAAATACTCAGTTGAATCTGAAGCATATTGAATGTGAACTGTCAGTTAATCAAGAGCAAAAGGAAAATTTCCCAAGTGTCATACTGAGGTGTGTTAAACATTTCATCTTCATATTTTTAGGGGTACATTTAAGAAATTTAAGGATTTTGAGACACTTCACAGTAATGAATTGGTTTTATTTAAAAACAAAATCAGTGTTATAGGGTGCAGCGTCATTAATGCTTTCTCCAATTCTGATTTAAACTGGTTGAAATGCATTGCTTTAAAATTATCTTTAACTGAAGAAACCAATTTATTATACACTTAAATTCATCATGAAGACAAAATATTCATAATTACAAGCAAGAGTCCATTAAAACGAGTTAACACTTTTGAGAACAATAACCTGGTAATTTGATGACGAGGAACCCACTTTGAGACTAATAATGGCTGGAGATGGCTTGAATGGGTAATGAAGAAAAACTTTAATATAAGTTTAACATAACAGCAAATGTACAACGTTTCGACAAGGTTTTGTCATCATTTTGTACCTGATGATGACAAAACCCTGTCGAAAAGGTGTACATTTGCTGTTATGTTAAACTTGTATTAAAGTTTTTCTTCATTACCCATTCAAGCCGTCTCCAGCCATTATTAACCAAAAAAGTAAAAATC